CAATATTTTCCCAGTTTCAAGTGTATTTAAGTATAACTCGGGCAAAACAAATAATAAATTTATTACTTCTCGGTAATTTCTGTCCAGTGACATACCGATGAATTCAAAAAGAAAACGAATTATTGTATACGATTATTTGGTCGCTCGTTATGGTCCGCAATCAGCGCAAGTGGTTAAAACACGTTAATATTAATAAGACTCGTTCAACTCAAGGATGTTTCAATTCCTAAGCCTTGGACGAGATAAAGATACGACTCTCCAAGGGAAGATCCACGGGAGAAACTAATAATCTGTGAAATCTTTGGAATAAACTCGACAATGGCAACGTGTCGTACATATGTATATATACAGTGTGTCCAAAAAGGTTGAGATCAAACTTAGACTACGTGTGACTGAGGTCAAATAGATGAAAAAAGTTCGTATAAACTCATGTCCGAAAATGCTTTATTCAAAAGATATATAAGCTTTTAAAGGTCTTATCGTGACAGTTGTGAGAAATGTTTGAAAATTCCTCCTTCTGCAAGAATGCAGGCTTCCATTCGTCGAATTGGTGATTGTCAAACTCTTTCAAATATTCCATTTGTATTGGAAATAATAGTAAATGCATTTTGAATACATTGTCAAAGTATCAGGTGACCTAGGAGGCCAACTGATCGGTCCGTCGTGACCGATCCAACGTCGAGGGAATTGTCTATTAAGAAATTCACGTACGTTCCAAGTCCAAAATGTGGCGGAGCGCCAGCGTGTTGAAACCACATTTGATAGCGTGTTTCCAACGAGACATCATATCGTGAAGATCATTATGCAATAATCTTACTGAGAATTTGTAATACGTATACGATTCTGAATTGTAAGACGAATTTCGTCCATAAATCTTTGAACGCTTATATCTTCCCAACAAAGCATTTTCGAACATGAGTTTATATGAACCTTTTTTCATCTATTTGACCTCAGTGACACGTAGTCTCAATTTAGTCTCAACCTTTTTGGACACCCTGTATGTATATATATATATCGTTAAAACGATCAACAACACGAGAGACAGCTAAAAATGCAGACGTAGCGGAGTACGATGGCAGAGGGGTGACGAAAACAGCGCATACTACACCGTAGGTGGGGGTAGTTTGATGATGAAGGGGCGGATGACTGGAACGAGCATGGGTGCGGAAACCGCGCGAGTTATTTTGCTAGGAGGGGTTTTAAACCGCTGTACATATGGATGCGGGCTTCGCTCTGCCAGGCCTCCGATTGGATTACGTAGCTATGCGCTAATTGATTAAAGCGCGATACTGCGCGTCGTCATCGCCATCGTCCTTGCAATTCCTCCGTCCGTCCCCTCGATCGCGACACTAACACAACCCTTTGGTTTTCCTCGCGATTCTTCTCTCTTGAAAATTTTTCTTATTTCTTCTTTTTTTCTTTTCTTCTTTTTTTTTTTTGCGTTTTATTCGCAAACTTTCATAGCTTTCATTTATATTCTTCCATTTTTCGTAAATGGGGCTTTCGTAATTTCGCGTCCAGCGAAACGAACGGCCAGTTTGCAAATATTATCAGTGACTGTTTTCAGTCAACTGCCGCGGCTAATGAGAGAGAGGGCGACGCGTTGTTTTGCTTCAGGGGGGTCGGCCGCCCGGTTGGGGGAGAGAATTGACTGTAATCGATGCTAATTGACTTTGAACAATCCTACTAGTTTATCGTTAACGAATCCTATCGGCGACTTATCGTTTCATTTATTCGCAAGGACGTACATACTTTTTGACTTTTCGCCATTCACTTTCTTCGTCGCACAAACAGTTGGCGCGACTGTCGAGATGATCGAGCTTCGCGAATCAATTCAGGACACGGTGCGGATGACGATGTTGAAGACGATCGGTAATAAATAAATAAATAACAAGCAACGCGACTCGCGATTCGTAGGCGAGACGCGTGTTTACGGATGTGGAAATCCGTAATCCGGCGAAGCGGACAGACGCCGAAAGACGACAGGTTGAGAGAGAGAGACAGAGAGAGAGAGAGAGAGAGAGAGAGGGGGTGATTAAGGTGGCGCGGTGAAAGAGGGAGAAACTAAACAGCCGGATCGGAGGGACGGAAGGGTAACTAACGACCCCTTACAAGGCTGCGTAGTTCACCACTTTGCTAAATTATATAAATCACGTCCCCTTCGTCAAGGGGCTCTTACGCGAGACGCTTAATCCACCCCTGGAAACGCCTGCTCTCCAGCCTGCTTCTCCGCCTCTGTTCCAGCCACGCACCTCTCCAGCTCCGTGAGCAGCGTCTCCCGTCGGCGACACCTTCGCCGGAGTTCCGCTCGGTAGTTACTTTGCATTAAGCAGCCATTAATTAGATCGCACGCCCGTTAATTATCCCGACGGAGTTCCACGGGTTCCCGTTACTTTAACTCGCGGCGGGGCGGCGGTTGCGGGCTCCTTCTCCAACCGACCGACCGACCAACCGCCAGCCTCTCGAAGACAAGTTTTTAAGAAATTAGCCAAAGTTGACAGGCCGTGGTTGGGTAATTAAGTCCACGGTTGCACCTTCCTTCGGACGACACGGTCGATTAACCTCTTCCGCTGGAACAAGGCTACGCACGCTGAGAATTCTTTTGGTCCCAAAATTGCAACATTTCCTCAGTTTTAAATATATATTTCAGTATAACTCGGGCAAAACAGACAATAAATTTATTATTACTTCTCAATAATTTCTATCCAGTGATATCGTACCGACGAGTTCAAAAAGAAAGCGACGAATTATTGTGTACGATTATTTCGTCACTCGTTACGGTCCGCAATCAAGAAGTAAATCTTAACCTCTTGCGCTGGAACAACGTGTCACGCACGTCGAGAACTTCTTGTCCCAAAGTTGCAATATTTTCTCAGTTTTAATTATATTCAAGTATAACCCAGGCAAAACAAATAACAAATTTATTACTTCTTAGTCATTTTTATCCAGTGACATACCGATGAATTCAAAAAGAAGACGAATTATTGTATACGGTTATTTGGTCACTCGTTATGGTCCGCAATCAAGAAGTAAATCTTAACCTCTTGCGCTGGAACAACGTGTCACGCACGTCGAGAACTTTTTGTCCCAAAGTTGCAATATTTTCTCAGTTTTAATTATATTTAAGTATAACCCAGGCAAAACAAATAACAAATTTATTACTTCTTAGTAATTTTTATCCAGTGACATACCGATGAA